TGTTAATATTTGATCTTTAATTAAGTAAACTCTATAACCTCTCCATTACCATTCTCACTCCTATTTCATACTGGACACTTCAATACACGATAAATACATTTAAGTTGGTAAATATTTCTCATATCTATCTATACATATAAGATCATTTTTTTTCTTATTGATAGACCTCTCATATCTATCTATACATATATATATATATATTTATTTTATTGATAGACCATCTGCATAAATAAATAGTTCATGCAAAATCCAACAGAATTTTTGAATGAGCAGAGATTCTCCTACTCACAAATTTAATAATATTACGGTATTACAGCGTAGAATGCAGAAATATGTGTGTAACAAACTCATACAACAGTAATTACATCTATCTTTTTGGAATACCAAAGATGTATAACAAATCCTGTTCCAATATAAGGTTTCTTCATAAATGCCTTGATAATAGTTATCAAACTGTTCTGGAAAGAAGAGGCAACAAACTTTGTGGAAAAAAAATGTTTTAACCTTAACAACAAGTACAGTGCTTTTCAGTTCCTCCAACACAGTTTTCACTAAGACATATAACTTGCACCAACATTTGCCACACCTGCGTCTAGGTTTTCAGGTACTGTCTAAATATGGTTGTAAAGAAATCCATTGAGGTTTCAAACACCTGTCCACAATAAAGATTATTGAGCAATAAGCACTTAAAAAGTGGCCAGTCTGTACAGGGCCCATATGTACATATTATTGAGGTCTTTGCACATATTTTCCAGGTAAAGTGTCATTGCTTGCTTCAAGGGGTGCATTTTATTTCAGTTGCTCCCTGACTGAAATGAAAGCTTCACTTAACACTGATTAAATTGTTTAAGAAATCACTTTTTTTTCTTTTTTAAGAAATTACTTAGTTTTTCTTCTTTAAGAAATTACTTAGTGTTTTTTTCTTTTTTAAGAAATCACATGCTTGTTTCTCTTTCCAGAGAGAGAGAGAGAGATAGAGAGAGAGAGAGAGAGAGAGAGAGAGAGAGAGAGAGAGAGAGAGAGAGAGAGAGAGAGAGAGAGAGAGAGAGAGAGAGAGAGAGAGAGAGAGAGAGAAACTCACACACTATACAAAATATTTCTGATACAGAAACCAGCAATCTGCAGCTATATACATTTTTGTGTATTTCCATCCAATTTTTCATAAAATTGATAATTTTTTAATTTTTTGGTTGAATATGATAAGCTGCTGCCCAGTGTGGGTGAGTTCGGGAATATGCTGTGTTATTTGGGTAAGCACTACTTGCATCAATAAACTCACGCACTGTTTGTGCTGGGTCTCGCATCTCCCTCATTTCTCTGACCTCTCGAAGATCACGAATATTTCTCAGATTTCTAACTTCACGAACTTCATGAACTTGCTCCTGTTCTCTGGTGTCTCTTGTTTCATGGATCTGGTCATGTCGTGGTGGCAAGTCTCGTGGTACATCCCGCTGGGAATGATCATGGTGGTGGTGGTCTCTTGTTTCACGAGCATCATGAAATTCTCTCATATCTACTTCCCCTGGCTCCCTTTTTTCAAGATTTTCATTAATATTTGTAATTACTGGACGATGTTCTTCATACTGGGTGACTGGCCTCGCAGCTTCGCGTCTTTTTCGCTCTCCAGATCCACGAGGCTGATGTCTTCCATTGTAGCCACCAGATTCAAAATTACTCACATTGGAAAAGATATGGTTTGGAAGGTTATGTCTCCCTCCTGGTGGGTGGTGGGACAATATTGGGGTTCCCTGATTACTGTTTTGTTGATTAACATTATTGTTTGGTGTTACAGTAGGACATGGGCCACAAAAATTTACATATATAGAAACTGGGTGAAGGACTGGAGAAACATCTGACAGTCCTGACATAATAGGTGCAACTAATGACTGGTCAATTGTGAGAGGTACATAAAAGCTTCCGTTCTGGTTAAGTGCAAATATTGGAACTGTTCCTCCTATGCCAGGCTCTGAAGCTTGCCGCAATGGTGTATTTCTCTCACCCTGGTTCTCTGTCTTCGGCACAGGTGAAGGAGAGCCATGATTCTTGTCCAACAAAGGGCTGTCTCTCCCTCCATCTATAATTTTATTGGACTCATGAGCAAAGGCTTCCTGGTGAGCTACAGGCCTTGAAAGAGACATAGGGCCAGTTGGGGTCACTCTGTCTTTTTCACAGTCAGTGTAGTTACCGCAAGAGGATTCTGAATCACGACGCTTCTTCCGCACTTGATGTGACTGCTCAAGATCAGCACTAAACCGGTGCTTCATGTTGGATTTGAACTTGTATAATCTACTGCTATCATCTCCACTTGAGGAATTATTAGAGCTTAGGCCTGAGGAATATCCCCCACATCTTCTGTCACCACTTCCTCCAGGACCCGAATGTTGTTGAAGGATTTCCCTGAGTTGACTTCCCATACCAGCTGTGCTGTCAAGTGCTGCCCCAGACTTGTCATCCTGTTCATCCGTTCCTGTTCGTTCCTCTGAACGGTAAGCTGATTCTT